ATGCGAAAAACGATCCCCGCCGGCAAACCCCAACAGCCCCCCAACTGCCACCCAACTGCCCCCAACGGCTGCCCAGACCCCCCTGTGGAGTAATGTTGAAGTAATGTTGAAGTAATGTGCTGCTATGCGAAAAACGATCCCCGCCGGCAAACCCCAACGGCCCCCCAACTGCCACCCAACTGCCCCCAACGGCTGCCCAGACCCCCCTGTGGAGTAATGTTGAAGTAATGTTGAAGTAATGTGCTGCTCTCTTTTTAGCCCATTAGAAACCTATCAGTCTTCGATGTTAGGTAAAAAAATCTCCCCCATGGGGCTTCGGCCCGTCCCGCCGGCCACCCGGACAGGACCGCAAGGAGCACAATTCCCCAATTTGTAGCTCAAGATTGCCCAAATTGGCCTCCAAGATGGCCACGTGAGCTCAAGATGGCCTCCAAGATTGTCCAAGATGGCCTCCAAGACAGCCCAACATGGTCCAAGACGGCCTCTCAGACGGCCCAAGAGAGTCCAAGACAGCCCAAGAGGCCCCCAAGAGGCCTCAAAGACGACCCAAGAGGCCTCCAAGAGGTCCTCCAGGAAGGCCAGAAGAGGCCGAAATCATTGTTTTTCCATAGGTGGTTGAAGGATGTTGGCATTCGCTTCTTCTCGGATTCCCGACGACCCACGACGGCCCAAAAGGCTCCCAAGATCGCCCCCAAAGCGCCCAAAAGGCCTCCAAGATGGCCTCAGGACTGCCCAAGAGGCTCCCAAGACGGCCCCAAGAGGGCACAAAGACAACCAAAGAGGCCTCAAAGACGCCCAACATGGCCTCTAAGACGGCCCTGGAGCACCCCAAGAGGGCCCCAAGACGACCCAGAGAGGCCCCCCTAAACGGCTTCCGACGGCGTCAGACGGGCCAGGAGCCCACCAAGATGGTCTGGCCCCATGACGGCCCCCCTGAGGGCCCCAAGAAGCCGGCCCAAGAGGCCACCAAAACGCCCAAGATGCCTCCAATGCGCCTAAGATGGCCCCAGACGGCCTGAGAAGGCCCGAGACGGCCTCCACAACACCAAAGACGGCCTGAGATGGCCTCAAGATGGCCTCAGACGGCCCAAGAGGTCCCCAAGAGGCCTCCAAGACGGCCCAAGAGGCCTCCAAGAGGTCCTCCAGGAGGGCCCGAATAGGCCAAATCATTGAGTTCCCTTTGGTTTTTGAATGATTGTTGCATGTTTGCCTCTTCGGCCTTCTAAAGGCTCAAGACGGCCCCAAAGGCCCCCAAGATCGCCCACGAGGCCTCCAAGATGGCCCCATGACGGCACAAGAGGCCCCCAAGACGGCCCAAGAGGCCTCCAAGACTGCAACAAGATGCGCCCAAGACGGACTGAGATGGCCTCAAGATGGCCCAAGACGGCCCAAGAGGCCCCCAAGAGGCCTCCAAGACGGCCCAAAAGGCGTCCAGGAGGTCTTCCAGGAGGGCACGAAAAAACCAAAATCAGCGATTTGTTTAAAAAAGTGTTTGAAAGATTTTGGCAATTGCTTCTTCTCGGCATTCTGACGGCTCAAGACGGCGCAAGAGATCCCCAAGATCACCCAAAAGGCCTCCAAGATGGCCCCACGACGGCCCAAAATGCCGTCAAGACGGCCCAAACAGGGCCCCAAAACGGACCCAGAAGCCTCCAAGACACCCAACATGGCATCTAAGAACCCCTGATATGCCCAAAAAAAAAAAAAAACAAGAAAAGAAAAACAGATAGGACCCCACACGCCCCCAAACAGAGCCCCCAATCCGGCCGTTTCCGACGGCGTCAGCTAGCCAAAAAAAAAAAACCAAAAACAAAGCAACATCAAATAAAAAAAAAAGAAACATAAAAACAAGAAATAAAAAAAATAGAACGCGTAAGACGCCAAAAAACGACCCCCCAAGAAACCCCATAGGCCATTGAAAACCTCCAAGAGCCCCCTGGAAGCTCCCAGAGCCGCAAGTAGTGCCGCCAAGAGCGCCCAAGACGCCTCCTCCCCTCCCCCCTCCATCCGCCTCCTCTTTATTCCTCGTCCTACCCCCCTCCTCTTCTTGCGCCCTCCTGCGTTCCCGAAGGCTTTCCAAACCGATTCGGGGAACACGTGGTCCGATAGCTTGGCAGGTCTGGCCTCAACGTTCGGCCACAGAGGCGCTTCCAAAAAGGCAGGGGGCGGCGGTGATTCGCCGTAGGCGTCTTCGATAACGCCAACGTCTCAATATGCGCTGGTGATTCCTCTCCGCCCCCGCATGATGTTCCCAGATGCCCGAAGCATATAAAAATATAAAACAAAAATAAAATAAAACTCAAAAAAAAAAGAAAAAACACAACAATACATACAAGAAAAAAAAAAAAAGAAAAAAAGTACAATAAAAAAAAAAAAAAAAAAAAATATAATAACAAAAACAAAAAAAAAAAACAAAAAAAAAAAAGAAGAAAAAAAAACTACAAAAATGACAAAAATAATAAAAAAACAAAAAAAAACAAGTAACAGAACAAAAAAATGCCAAAAAAAAACCAAAAACAAAAAAACAAATAATAACGAAAAAAGCCCCGAAACGAACCGACGCGACTGTGATACATCCCGCTATGATAGAAAGGGGGGCCGGCGGCAGGGGGCAAAGACCTTTTACGGATAAAAGGAATAACACAGCGTCCCGCGAGAGGGGGGAGACAGCGCGCGGAAGGGCCAACCGACTCCCTGGGGCCCAGGGCCCAGGCCGAGGCACCGACGCGAGGGTAGAGTGGCAAGGGCAACGGACAAGCCCGGGAAACCGCTGCCTGGGCAAAGGGGGCGCGGCCACGGTCCGCTACAACGTGACAGCAGGAAGCAGCAGCAGAAGAAATCTGATAGCGAACGGCTGACAGCTGAGGTGGTCTGGTCAACGGCACTGTCTGCGCCGCCCGCGCGACTGGGGCCAATCCGCAGCGGCCCTGCGCATCGCCTCCGCGACAGGCACGGGGCGCGCAATAGCAAAGACAGCAGGAGCAAGCAAGGGGCCGATCAGAGAAAATCTGAAGCAGGGAACCCACGAAGGGCGCGGGAGGCATGCGCAGTTTAGGGGCGTGGAAACCCTCCGCGCAAAACTCGGGAAAACAAGCAGCCACCTTTTTGTGCCTCCTGGCCCCTAGCTTCCGACGGGCATGGGATATCTGCGGCGGGCTCAAGGAAGCGCCGCAGAGCACGCGGGCACCAAACCGTTTAGTCTTCACCCTTCATCTGTTGATGCCGCACATCTGGGAGGCTCGCGACCCCTGGGATCCACTGCCGAGCGACTTCAACTCTGTGCTCTGCCTATGATGAAGCATGTCCCCCCCCCCCCTGGCGACGACAGCGACGCCCGCGGCCCTCGCGCTGGAATCTGGCAGACCCGCAGAACCCCCTCGATGAGCTCCGAGTGGCACCCGTGGCTAGGTGAATGCGCGCGGCCTGCTCCAACGCTCTAAATCAGCGCCGTAGCTGGTCCAGAGGGCCAACCTGGATATTGCCGAGCCTTCGCCCTACTCTTGCCTGAAGATGAACGAAAAGGGGCTGCCTGCACCCGAATGCCGCGATATACTTTTCATGCTTCCTGCTAGTCACTGCCGGCGCATCAGCGGCACTACCTCCCGCAATCCTAATCGCAAGGTTCTTCCACCAACAAGGAAGCTTGTTTGAATGGACCAGAATTCATCGTCATGCATGTCGCCCGTGAAACTGTCCATAATCAAAGATGCTCCGCAAGCACATGACGCGGCACTCGGCGGCAAAAACCACGAGGGTGAGCGCGGCGAGCTCCAGAGACGCCCCGGGCCCCCGCATCTGCGCGAGCATGCATGTCGGGCCCAGGGCAAGGATCTGGAGATCTCGCGCGCACTCTCCAGCTGCTTCTGGAATCGGCCTGACAGGATGCACGCGACGCCGCGGCGTCGCAAGGCACTTCGACTACAAATGGCGCGTCGTCGGGAGCCGCGGGCGCGGGGGCGCCGAGGGCGAAACGCTCGCCAGAACGCGACCAACACCTCGCCCCACGCCGCCGAGTGAGTGAGCAGCGGGGCCCACCCAGCATCCCCAGGCACCGGCCGCGCGTCTTGAACTTGACCCCCGCAAGCAATTTGCCCTTGGTTGTCGCGCGGGCGGCAACTGCATGTCGAAATTCACGCCCCACGCGCCGCGACGCAACATCTACGAAAGAGAGAGAGAGAGAGAGAGAGAGAGAGAGAGAAAAAAAAGAAAAGAAAGAAAGACAGAGAGAGAGAGATAGAGAGAGAGAGAGAGAAACAACAAAAAAAAAAGAAAGAAAAACAAAGAGAGAGAGAAGAGAGAGAGATAGAGAGAGAAGACAATATGAAAGAGAGAGAGAAGGAGAGAGAGAGGGAGAGAGAAGAGAGAAAGAGAGAGAAAGAGAGAGAAAGAGAAGAGAGAGAGAGAGAGAAGAAGAGAGAGAGAACAGAGCAAAGAAGAGAGAAGAGATAGAAGAGAAGACAAAATGAAATGAAGAAGAAGAGAGAGAGAGAGAGAAGAGAGGAGGGATCAGAGAAGAGAGAGAGGAGGAGAGAGAGAGAGAGAGAGAAACAAAAAAGAGAGAGAGAGAGAGAGAGAGAGGGAGAGAGAGGGAGAGAGAGAAACAAAAAAGAGAGAGAGAGAGAGAGAGAGAGAGAGAGAGAGAGAGAGAGAGAGAGAGAGAGAGAGAGCCGATGGCCGCTGCGAGCGAGTCCAACATAAGCACGGGGCCCACGCGAACATGTCGGGGGACGAAACAACAGTCACCAATGCACCCAAGCTCTAGGTCGAGACGCGGGGCGCTCTGAAACTTGATGCACCGAATGACTGAGTTCAACGCGACGCAGGGTCGCCCTGCCGAACGCCTCCTCCAACGGGTACTTGGCCTCCCTGGCGCCCGCCCGACGCCGCTCTCAACTGGGGGCCGCTGCGCTGACCCTGAGCAAAACCCTCCAACGGCTCTCAAGACACCCGTGGCCACAGATATTTAAACCATCGGCTGCGAGAGAAATCGAAAGGAGCGCCGCGCGGAGATCGGTGAACTCTGGGGTGACGTTGACCTCCGCGCCAGTCCGGCGGACCTCGGAGACCGCGCTCTTCTTGACTGCCTCCAGAGCCGGCTCGCCGTCGGACTTGAAGATGAATCTGTCGCGGCGAGTGCTGACGATGTCCTGGGCCACGATCCTGGCGGAGTACTCGTGCTGGACACCCTTGCTCTGCGCCGCGTGGGCGTCCAGCCAGCGCGCGCCCGTCGGAGGCGGGCCGTCCTTGACAACGATGAAAGGGATGGTCGAGCTCTCGATCTTCTCGACCTCGTGCTTCTCGCATAGGAAACCGTAGTCGGCGCGCAGCGTGGGGGTCTGGCCCGCGGCCTCAGAAGCTCGATGCTGATCGGCCTTGCCGCGCCCAGCCGCGCAATGTCTGCGCCAAGCTCGACGCGGGAGGTGGCACGCGTTGTGCTCGGCCACCTCGTCTGGAGCAAGCATCGTCGGACTCGCCAGGACTCGCAACTTTGGCCGTCCAACGTCCGCGTCGCCATGCGCCTGGGCGCGAGCATCGCCCGAATTGGGTGGGGGCGCAGGCGCTGGCGCAGCCAGAAGTGGGGGTGCAGCCTGAGCCGGCGCCGCCGAAGAAGATGCCGCCGCGCCTCCTCCCGCGCCTGCTGCGCCAGCAGGCGGAGAATCTCGTAGGTCCTGCAGGGGTGCCAAGGTCACGGGCCCCCACCGCAACTGCTTCTTGCCCACGTCGCGCCCTACGGTCAAGCCTGCCCGCTGCCCCCCGACCAAGGGGGCACGGGCGCCTCGATTTCGAACGATGTTGATGCGCTCGATGCTCACCCTCCTGCCGGTCTGCGGGTGGATCGCGCAGGCGCCCTTTTCGCTGTCCGCGTAGAAGTGCACGTCCAAATCCATGTCATTCACTTCCGCAGCGCTCAGCAGCGGCTTGCGGACGTCGCAGACGTGCACCTTCATGCTCAGATTATGGCCGTCGCTGCTGACCATGTCGCACGTTCTCTCGCCGAGATCCACGATGCCCTTGCTGCCTTTGCCGGCTGGTACGTGCTCGAGGCCCGACCTCGACTCCGGCGCGTACTTGATCGGGCAGTCACTGCAAAGGTCCTTGGGCCAGACAGTCACGCCAGCCCCAGAGTCCACGCCGATCCTCACGAGCCTGTCGCCAACGCTCCCGATCTCGCCGCGCTCAACCGAACAGAGCACCAGCGAGCCGAGCTGCTGAGTGGATGCAAGGGACGTGGTAGCAGAACCTTGTCGTCCTTGGGAGTGCGGCTGAGGAGGAGGAGGTAAAGGCCACTGCTGCTGATACTATGTCACTGCGTACGGGAGCTGTTGCTGCTGGTGCTGCTGGTGCTGCTGCTGCTGGTGCTGCTGGTCGCTCAGCTGCCCGATCTGCCGGCGCTGGCCCTCCTGGCCACGAGCTGCCTGTAGCTTCCGGCAATGCGCCCGCTTGCGGCCCCAGATTCCGCAGTAGCCGCACTCACCGTTGAAGTGGGTGTCTCCCTTACCAGCACCAGCTCCACCTTTGCCGCCGCCGCCGTGACCACGCCCTCCTCCGAACTTGACGCCCTCGTTGTTCTTGCCTCCATCCTTATTCTTGCCCGTGCCTTTGTTGCCCCCGTCCTTGCCCTTGCCGCGGCCCTTGCCGACAGGATTGCCTTGATACCAGCAGTCTCGACGGGTGTGGCCGGTCTTGCCGCAGACGTCACAGCGCGCCCGCGCGTCGACCGCGCTGACGTCCATGGGCAAAGGGCCAGTGACAAGGTACTCTTTGGTCCGGTAGATGCCGATGATATCGTCCTTGATCTTATCATGCGTGTCGAACCGGTCCGAGTTCATCACCACGTGCCTCGCCAGGTCGTCCTGGCGGATGCTCATGATCACGATCCCCGTGCGGAGATCGTCGTCCACAGTCTTGCCTGTCGCGTTCTCGTACTGCTGAACCACCTTCTCGAAACGGCCGAGCTCATGCAAGACGTCGTCCGACTCGAACCCGAAGCCCAGCACCTGCTGCAACAGCCCTTTGGCCCTCGTCACGGCCTTGCCCTCGTGCTCGTCTGTGAGCGACCTCCAGAGGAGGAGCCCTTGGCCTCACCCCACGAGCGTGACCTTGTCCGATGCCTTGCCCTCGAGCAGCGTCGTGAGGATGTAGTACAGCTGGGTGCTGAACTCGGTGCTGAGCTCCATGTCGCGGTCTCCGCCGCCTCGGCCTCGTCCATCAAGAAGAGGAGGCGCTCGCTGATGGCCCGGGCGTACGCCAGCATCGTGATGGCCCACTGGTGCCAGTCGTCCTCCCGGCCTGTGAAGTTCTTCGGCTTCCCCATGAGCCGAGTGTCCACCACCTGCTGCTGGTGGAGTGGCGCCGCCGCCCGGGCCGCTGCAGCCGCTGCGGCCTCTCGTTGCTCCTCCAGGGAGCCCCTGAGCAACAAGTTTGTGTCTCTCAGCTCCACGATCTGTCTCTCAAGCATGGCGACCCGTTGTTTTGTCATCGATCTCCCTGCACTGGTCTGACTTGATGATCTTCAACCACTGGCCGAGGTGTTCGACACACCGTCTCTTGAACGTGAGGCGCGCAAGCTTGACAAAGAATCGAAGCCAACTGTCCACCAGCTCCTGGGAACAGCTCTTTCTGGGCCGGTCCTCGATGAGGTCGAACCCACTGTCCGTGCCCTGCAGCTGCTCCTGCATGCGACCGCCGCTGGCCGCGGCGGGGAAACGCTCACGCTACCATGAGAAATTATTTTGCCAGAGTGGCTGCGGACAGGCACGAAGATACTGCTGCCATACGTGCTTATCTCGACATACATACATACATACATACATACATACATACATACATAAATACATACATAAATACATACATACATACAAACATACATACATACACACATACATACAAACAGACATACATACACATACATGTACACACGTACATACACACATACACACATACATACATACATATATACAACCATACAGACATACATACATACACACATACGTCCATACATACATACATAACTACATACATACATACATATATGTATATATACATACATAAATACATACATACATTAATACATACATACATACACACATACATACCAACATACATACATACATACACATACACGTACACACGTGCATACACACATGCATACATACACACATACATACATACATACATACATACACACATGCAGACATACACACATACACACATACGTACATACATACATACATAAATACATACATACATACATATATGTATATATACATACATACATATATACATACATACATACATACATACATACATACATATGTACGTACAGTTTGCATGCATGCATGCATACATACACACATACATCAACACATACCTACCTACCTATCTGCATGTCAACATACCTACCTACCTACCTACCTACCTACCTCCCTCCCTACCTACCTACCTACCTACCTACCTACATGCATACATACATACATACATACACACATGTTTGTATACATGCATATATATATGTATACAGATACATGCATGCGTGCATACATACGTACATACATACATATATGCATGCATACAGACACACACACACACACCTCATACCATACATATGTAGATATGCCAACACGGATTCTGGATTTGCGACCCGAGGCGTCGCATCCTGAGCACGGGGCCCCCCCTCGGGGCAAGTCCATCCCGCCGCGAGAGACAGAGAGGCACGGGCGGGAAACGGTGGGGAGCGACGGGGGGAAGTGAGAAGGGGCGAGAAGCCCTTCGGCCTTCTGTGGAGTCTCTTGGGCCCTCCCCGAAGACACGGAACAAAACCCATCAGTAGGCGCGAGGGATCTCCGAGAAGTCCCGCCGCCTTCTGAGAAGGCCGCCTTTTCTCCGTCGGACTTCCCCCTCGCTCGCCGCCGATCTGGGCAACCCGCAGCCGAATACACGAGGCACAAAAATGCAGAAGGCTCCGCAGCTCTGCGGAACATTCTACGCTTGTTTTTTTCGTGCGGATTCGACGATCAAGTCACATCTGGGGTAGCTACAGTCCACCAACCTTGTCGTCGATCCCCGAACGTACTCGAGATACGCAGCATCTCTCCCTGGCGTCCACCCCCCTCCGCGTCGGCTGCGCCTCGGCAGCCGAGAGGCCGAGCCCCCCTCCCCTCTCTCCAGGGTGCCTCTCGTGGGGGGAGGGGGGGCTGTAGGCCTCCTGGATGGGGTCGGAGCAGACGGGGTCGGAGGATCGCGCCGCATCGCCGATGCATCGGCGATGCGGCTCGATGTGGATCCCGATTTCCTCCACGCCGACGGCGCCGACGTCGCAAGTGTATCGCCAATGCATCGCCGATGCATCGCCGATGCATCGGCGGTGCGGCGCGATCCTCCGACCCCATCTGCTCCGACCCCATCTAGGAGGCCTCTGGAGGCTGCCTCCGCGGCGCGGGTGCTGCCAGAGGTGTTTCTGGCCCACAGTTCTGCGTCGGCTGCGCCTTCTGAGAAGGCCTGTTTCTTTCTTTTTCTTTCCCTAGGCCTAGATCAGAATCCTGATGGCCGCTCGCCTATCCTGTAAATGAACTCTTCCACAGCTTTCGCGGCCTCCTCTAAGGCGAGCGCCTCGGCTGTAAAGGAAGAAATTGGGTCACTGATAAACGTCCCTGCAATGATGAAGAGAGGCCTGCTTCTCCTTCTCGCCTCCCTCCCCCTGCTCGCCGCCGAGGCGGGGCAGGGGAACCCAGACCCCCAACGTCACGATCTCTTCTTCACGCCGCGACCCCCGGAGTGAAGTCGGGCATGCCCCTTCCACAGGAGGAACATCCAAGAATTCGCCGGCCCAACGGGCCAAAGGCGTGCTAAGATCTCCGGTAACTTGTTAACAATATTTCTAGTTCGCGCGCGCGGAGCGGCCCCTGGGGGCCCCTGGACGAAAAGTACCCCGGCAAGGTCCCGAGAGAAGCCCGGGAGAAGCCACCAGACCACTCCAGGGGAGGGTATTTTTCGACACCCCTCACGAGGATCGTGGCCTCCGAGGGGGGAGCCGCAATCGACTAACCCCAAGAGCCCCCCAAGAGGCCCTGGGGGCCTCCAAAACGCCGCCAAGGAGCCCCAAGAGACTCCCAAGAGGTCCCCAAGAGGCCCCCAAGAGGCCCTAAAGAGGGCTCCAGGGCCGGCGGCATGAGCGAAGCGATTAAATAATCACAATTACTCTTGGGACGACGTTTCAACTATTTGTGCTTATGTTTGAAGATATGTTCTATGCCCATGAGTTTTTTTTTAAGTTTGTGCTGCCTGTAGGAGGACATGCCTAACCCCGAAGGTCCGGACCCCTTCCCCGGGACCGGTTCTTCAGCCCCGAGGCCCCGCAAGGGCCGCCAGAAGCCGAAAGTAGCGAAACAACTCCCACCGTTTCAGCAAGGGCCCCCAAAGGCTGAAAATGGCTAACAACCTCCCGTTGTGGTTGTGCACGACTCGAGGGGTTCCGGGAAGGAGACGCCAGAAAACGAAACGGCGTTGGCGCGCAATCGTGAAGGGTCGGCCGGGTCAATCCACACCCGGGTCAGTCAGGCCCTGCAGGATCCTGCCGGATCCCCCAGGATCCTGCAGGAGATCTTGCACCAGAGCCTGGGCCAATGCAGCCCTGGCTCTGCAAGATCTCCTGCCATATCCAGCACCCTGACTGCCCCTGAGACCCGAGAGGGGCAGGTGAGCCCAGAATCGAATCGATAAGTCGGATCGGCGATCGAAATGAAGAGGATCGGCAGAAGTGGGCAGCCGAGTCGGGAGAAGTCGAATCGGCGGAAATCGGCAGGCAGGTGGGCCTCCATGTCGAGAAATCGGCATCCACATCGCACTCCGAAGTCGAATCGAATCGGAATCCATTGAATCCCAAGTCGAATCGAGTCGGAGGCATCGCAATAAGCGCCCTGCGAGAGGGGGGAGCCCGTCGCTGGAGCTCCGAATCGGCGCGCCGTCTGTTGAGCCCCGAGGCCACCTGCAGAGTTGCCGTTCGCGCTGTCAATACTCTGCTCTCCTAGGGGGCTTTGCAGCGTAGTCCGCACCTTGCTTCCGCATGTCCGAGCCCCGTGGCTGCCTGCACGCCCTCCTGTGCTCAGCTGCGCTCTTGCTCGTGTGGACACTGCTCAGGCCTGGCGAAAGCTTCAGAGGTCCCTTCCAATGTGTGAGGCGGCGGCGCACCGGCGCGGTCGAAGAGTAGTCGCGGAGCCGGCGGTCGGAGCGGCGCGCGCGTGCGCCGCCTCCTCGCCCGAGGAAGGCAGGCAGAGGCGCCGCGAGCAGTGCCGCAGCCTCGCAGGGCAGACAGGCGCGTGCCACTGCTTTTGTGGTTGCTTTTGTTTTTGCTGTTTTTGTTAGTATTACTAGTATTATTATTGTTGTTATTGGTGATTGCTTGTTCTTGTTTGTTTGTGTTGCTTTTGCTTGTTTTGCTTAGCGGTTTTCACACAATGATCCAGGATGCTCCTCTATGGTCCTCGCAAGGAGGAAGGGCTGCACACGTCCGAGCGATGCCAAGGCAGAACAAGACATTGATCGCGAAAGTCCTGCAGTCGCCGCAGGAAATCAACAGTCCAGCGCATCGAGGCGAGCCTGTGCTTTTGTTCGGACCTTTGCACCTTGGCACTCTGCGACTAGGAGGGACGCGCTCGGCGAGTATGAACAAGGGAGCGCTGGCACGCACGCCCGCTGACGCGCACTCCCTGTGCAGGTGGCTGGGCTCATCACCATGTGGACCCGTTGATGACTACCTACCAGACCACCCCAACCCAACCCGAAGATCCTAATTTGACCCGAATTTCGGGTTGGGGGGGGGGGGTACGGGTTCCATGTGTTTTTCCAGTGTCCCCCGACCCCACCCCAACTGGAAATGGAGGGCAAATTGAGGCCTTCGGGTTGGGTTGGGGTGGCTTGGTGGGTGGTGGGTTCAGAAGAAGACAGAACAGAACAAACATAAACCTACTGGCGCTCCGCGCGGAGTTCTTGCATCGGCACTGGACCCCCTCCCTGGCGCGACGGAGCGCGCCAGTGGCCGCGCCAGAGGCGCTGCTGGGGCGGCCCAGCGCAGATCCAAGACATCTGCGCGGAGCGCCACACATTTGTGTTTGTGGGGCGTTTTCTTCTTCGGCCACTCTCCATGAAGAACAATAGCTTCAGGTCGGGCATGTCCCCCCACAGGTGAATTTGGACGAACAAAAATACAAAGACAGTCAAACATAGTCGAAAAACCGTCCCCGGATTATTTGTGATGACTATTTTTGAATATTCCTCCTGTAGAGGGACACGCCCGACTTAACCGCAGCTCCACTACGCGTCCATCTTCTCGAAGCGAGCGTTCACCGAGTTGCAGAAGGCGGTCTGCCGGCCCTCGTCCCCGTCCCAGTCGCCGCTGTCGTCCTCGTGCGTGGCCGGCGCGGGCATGTCGATGAGCTTCGAGAGCGCCAGGCAGCCCAGGGCCTCAGGCTGCGGGGGGTACGCCGGCACGGAGACGCCGAGGCTGCCGTAGAAGCCACCCCGCAGCAGGCGGACGCACTCGGCGCAGCGCATCTGCTCGTCCACCTGAGCGAAGATCCAAAACGGCTCTTTCGCAAGTTGCAGATTAGTAAAACAAAAAAAAGAAACCGCTAGCCCTTCCTCGTTTTCCCCTTTTGGGGCCTCCTCGGAAGCCCTCGTCGCCACCGCTGGATTCGCCTCGACATCTTGGTCAGAACGCACCCCGGGAGAGATCCCGGGAGGAGCGGTATCGGGACCTGTTTATTTTCGCAGAGTTGACGCAGCGACCTTAGAGTTCGGCCCGGCCACAAGAAGCCTTCCACAAGAAACTCAACCATGAGACCCCAGGACCCCAGGACGCCCATCGATTCTTGGCGTGGGAACGTCACGCTTCCCATGCGAAAACCATCGAAACCTGAGAAACCCGGGGCGCCCTGGAGGCAAACAGGGTGTTCCTTGGCATGGGTCTCCACTGTACACTGTACGCCGCAGCTTAGGTGGGCCGCTAGCGCGGCACGCCGCAGCGGACACGAGGGCGCCGAATCAGCGCCCTCGTGTCAGAAGCTGAATCAGCGCCCTGACACGAGGGCGCTGAATCAGCGTCGGATTAAATACACGAGTCGCGCGTATCAACGCCGCTGATACGCGCAACTCTACGCGGGCATCTTGCGCGCTAGTATCGGTGAAGACGAACCCTCTCTCCGTCGTCGCTCACCTGGCGCTCCCGGCAGCGCACCGCGTGGCCGCTGCCGACGAAAGTACCGCCTCGAAGCTTCAGCAGCCGCTCGAAATCGCCAAAGTCGCTCGCCAAGCCCCTGCAAATCGGGTGTTAATAAACGGAGTGGTAGCCGAGGGGCCTCTACGAGCGAGTACATGGCGACATGGCATTTGCCTCGCACTAGTGCGTGATAAATCGGGACAACAGAACCGTCGATACATCATCAGAACTGTCGGCGGGGGGCGTCACCTCGCACTTGCGCGCCGCACATCAATTTTTCGAAGGCACACTTGACAACGCACCCTTAGCTACCACCCCGTTTACAAACACCCCGTCTGCAGGGGCTTGGGCTCGTGCGGAACACCCACGTCTCGACGCGCAGCGCGCCGCCACCAGCCTCGCCGCCCTGGACCGGATCGTTGATGAGACACTCGGTCCACTCGGCCCGCCTCGCCGACACCTCTGCCCCGACCTCGGGGGGCCGCGTGTCGGTCGGAGGCTCCATCAGGCCCACCTTCTGCGGCAACTCAGGGGAGCCCCCCATACCTCATACTACCGCGCTGGCTCTTGCGAGTCGACGCTGATCGACACTACCCGACGCTAGATCGACGAGCATCGACGCTGGTCGACGCGAAACCCGCGCACTCTCATCGATGTCCAGACGCTACTCGACGCTACCGTAGACAACTACCAAACTGACTCGTAACGTTGGAATTTCGCAATTCAAAGTCCACGGGTTCCCAGCTGGGCAAGATCGGCGGCCGCCGCCCAAAATGTAAAAAATAAGCGCAGACCACAAGCGCAAGCTTTTTGGGCCCCATATTGTCCTGGCCCAGACTGCCCTCATTGTCATTGAATGGCGGAATTGTAAGATCATGCTTTGGCTTCGCGCGAATCGCTGACATCCACGCTGGTGCGCTCCAAAGACGGAGCTGCGAGGGCACGCGGGGCTCCCACGACTTGCTGCCGACAAGGTCCACCCGCCGCACCACGCGCTCCCTCCCAGCGGCCGCGGCCTCTCGGCTACTCGTAAAGTTGGGCGCCCGAGTTATCCGGGGTAACTCGGGTCCGGGGTAACTCGGGTTTGGATTCCCGAAAAAGGAACCCGAGCTACCCCTGACCCGAGTTACCCCTGATGATTCGGGGCTCTGGACGCCCGAGTTATCCGGGGTAACTCGGGTCCGGGGTAACTCGGGTTCGGATTCCCGAAAAAGGAACCCGAGTTACCCCTGACCCGAGTTACCCCTGATGATTCGGGGGCCCTGGACGCCCGAGTCATCCGGGGTAACTCGGGTCCGGGGTAACTCGGGTTCGGACTCCCGGAAAACGAACCCGAGTTACCCCTGACCCGAGT